GAGGAAACGATACAAGAACTACCATTTTCCACAAATGAAGGACCAATGAAGAGCTACTCACCATTTTGCCATTAAAAGTACACACCAAGCGTGAGGATAGTTTTAATGCTTTCATGGGATTTGTTAGTGGGACAAAACAGTGGCTTTTAGATTTACATGTATCTTTCCTCACTGATCTCACTGGCCAGCTCAATGAATTGAATTTAGAGCTGCAGGGTAAGGGTAAAGATGTAGTCAACATGATGAGTTCAGTGAGGACATTTAAAAGCAAGCGAAAGCTGATGTCCAACCGGCTGCGGCTAGGTAACCTGTGCAACTTCCCTCACATGCAAGCAGAACTACAACGTCAAGGGAAAGGTGTTACACAGCTTGACAGTGCACGTTATGAGGAGCATGTTCAGAGCATCTTGTCAGAGTTTGAGAGGCGTTTTACTGACTTTGCATCTGTCGAGCCTATAGTCAGCTATATGTGTTATCCATTTGGTGCAAATATTGACGGTGGTGACATTGCCGCCAAAGTCAAATCACTTTTCGACTTTGAAAGCCCCACTCTTGAGGATGAGATTCTGAGATTGCAAAATGACATTGGGATCAAAGCCAGCCCACTGAGGTATGGAGTGATTTGCTTTTTTCAAACAGAGATCTACCTGTTTCATAGCTGTTTTTTTCTGTTTGGTTCGTACGTGGTTCTATGTAGGAAAGCCAAATGGCTTGGCCCTGGGACTTTAAAAGTCCCAGTCAGATGTCAGATGTTGACACTGGACTGGTAGATCTCCGGAGGTTGGCTCCTTGAAAAGTAGCCCTTGGGACAAAAAAAATTGTGCACCCCTGGCATACAGCATACCTCCATTTTTTTTGTTGATCTTTGATCTTTTTTTGTTGATTTGTAGATGCTTTGTTAAAAAGTTGTAAAGGGCACTGCTGACCTATTAAAAAAATGCCCAATAACCTAATAAACTATTGATGCTGTTTGCCAAGCCTGATATGTTTCTTGAGTTTCTGTCAATTTTCAGACCCTCAAAAGTATCATTGTTTTCCTGGCAAACAGCACATTGCCATGGGAACAATTTTTCATGAAAATCACGGAGACCAAAGTACTCTTCAGAGCAAATATCAGGTAACTGGTTAACCAGCTGAGAGAAAAATATAAAAGAAAAAATACTTTAGCCAGTAGGTGGCGCTATTACAAATATAAAAAATAAATTCATAGGGGTCGTCATGTCTGGATTATCATCACGTGTGACATTTAGGCAGGATATTATCATGTGTGTCAAGTTACAGCATCTTTGAATGATCAGAATTTGTGACATCATAATGGCCACACCCTTTGCCGAAAAGTTACAATATTCTGCATAGATTATGCTCAGTATCTTGAGGCTTTACTGGAAATGTTTAAATTGGATTTGCTCATTGAACTTGATGCAGTACATTCAAATGTAAAATACGATTTTTTGGCCCCACTATGTGGCGCAAAAATTATATCAAAATATGTCATAAAAGATATCTTCAGGCTTCAACTTCTGAAACACATGTGAAGTTTGGGACTTTTTGGAGCATGTGAATTATTTAGCAAACTCTTTTGTGGCAAAGAAAATATAAAAAGCAAACTTCCAATGTCATATAGTATTTCAAAATAGCTTAGTTTTTTTGTATGTTTAGGTCCCAAAAATTGTGATCACCCCTGGCAACAGCACCAACATTTTATTGGGATATTGTGTGATTTAAAAAAATGGCTCAGCAGCGCCCCCCAGAAGTTTTTAACAAAGCAACCCTGTTTGTATGTTTCACCAAGATCGACAAAAATTTGGAGGTTTTTGTCTCAGCCCAAGACCAACAAAAAAGTCTCTTGGAGACATTTTATTTCCAATTTGGCCCCATTTTTGGCCTTTTATATAGGTCACATTTTAGAGAACTCCTCGAGATTTTATCAGTTTGTCTTGAAACTATGAGTGCTTCATCTAAAGATGTTCAAGATGTAAAATAAAAGCAAAGGTTTTAATTTCATCCACTACTGTTGCCCTGACGACGCAGTGTTTGCGAAGAAAAATTATGCGGATTTTGATGGTTTTAACATTCGTGATATCAGATGAAACTTGGCACACACATCACGCTTGGCAAAATAATCACAATTTTATTGATTTTTTTTTTTTTTTTTAATGCGGATTTTAAAAAAATGGCTTAGTTGCGCCCTCTACAATTCTTTAACAAAACAGCCACCAGCTGAATGTTTCACCAAAATCTACTTAAAGTTGAAGGCATATGTAACAGCCCAAAACCTAGAAAAATATCTCTGGAGCCCTATTCTAAACTTAACAGGAAATCAGCCATTATTAATTTCCTTTCAAACTGTGCCTTATTTTTGGCCTCTTATAGCTGTCATATTTTATAAAAGCTTTTAATTTGGTGTACTACATTCTCAAAAATGTATGTCAACGTGCCAGTGCACCAACTTTGCGAGGGCCCTTAATTGCTGCTTGGAGCTCTAGTTTTTTATTTTGCCTATTACTATTTTTAATTAAATGTAATGCACTTTAACTTATAAAGCAATATAGATTGTCAGTCATTTTGCACAACTAACTAATTGTGTCAACGTCTGCCCTCTGAAAAATGATGAATGCAAATTATCCTTAAAACAAATGTAGTAATTAAGTGATTTAGCAAGACTCAAGACACAAGTGGAAACAGTTTCTGTGCTCACAAACTAAATGTGAGCAGCAGACTGACGAGCAGACAGTTTGAAGAGATGGCGCTCGAAAAGATCGTTTCTCCGATGTGCTGAGTGTGTGCCATAGATAGGAGGTTTTATATGGGTGGTTTGTTATTACTGCAGAGGTTTATTACCCCCATCGAGTATGGGAGGCAATTCTGCATTTTTAATCTCAGGCTGAATGTGTGGGATCACTTCCACTGCAATAATAGCTATGTAGTATTCCACAAGTCCCAGATGAAAGTCACGTTTCCTTTGAATCGTGCGCTCAACATTGACCCTCATCTTATATCCCATAGTCCTTTGTGAAATCATTATTTTGTTACCAGCAATCAATATCTAGCTTTTCTCAATTTTCTGTCATGACTGGAAATGGGTCCCCTTACTCTGGCACCTTGTGGAAAAAGCCAAACCAATTACATTCAAATCCAGATTGAAATGAATCAGTTGTAATTTTATACATGGCCATGATTTTAAATGACACAATTGGTTAAGACATAAAAACAAAAAAATATAACATTACATTGAGTGCATGTGTATTTTATAAAGTCCTGAGATGCCAATTTCAGTGCAAGTAAGCGTCAAGGTGGGAAGCAAACATTGAATGAACGTGACCCTCGATCCCTCAGGCGCCACTGCATCAAAACTCGACATTGATTTGTAAAGGATGTCACCACATGGGCTCAGGAGCAATTCACAAAACCAATGTCACTAAATACACTTCAGTGCTACATCGGTAAGTGCAATTTAAAACTCTACTCAGCAAAGCAAAAGCCATCTCTCAACAACACTCAGAAATGCGGCCGCCTTCTCAAGGCCCGAGCTCATCTAAGATGGACTGATGCAAAGTGGGAAAGTGCTCTGTGGCCTGACGAGTCCCCAAATCCAATTGTTTTTGGAAATTATGGACGTTGTGGGCCAAAGAGAAAAAGAACCATCCGGACTGTTATGGATACAAAGTTCAAAAGCCATCATCGTTGATGGTTTGGGGCTGTTTTAGCCAATGGCATGGGTAATTCATATTTCTCTGAAGGCACCATTAATGCTGAAAGGTACATGCAGGTTTTGGAGAAACATATTCTGACACCCAAGCGACATTTTTTTCATGCACGTCCCCTCTTATTTCAGCAAGACAATGCCAAACCACATTCTGCATGTGTTACCAGTAACAAGTAGTAGTAAAAGTGTGGGGAGAAGTCTGGCCATGCTGCTGGTCACACCTGTCTCCCATTAAGAATTTGTGCCGCATTTTGAAGCGTAAAATACGACAACGGAGAGCCCGTACTTTGAACAGCTGAAAATGTACTTCATGCAAAAATGGAAAAGCATTCCGCCTACAATGCTTCAACAATTTGTGTCCGCAGTTTTTTCCGAACGTTTATTGAATATTGTTAAAAGAAAAGGTGATGTAAGACAGCGGTAAACATGACCATGTACCATTAGCATATCAATCAATCAATCTGTATCAGTGTGTTTCAATGAATATGTCGAAGTGGCTAATGACATTGTTAGTTCAATTTACCGAGTCTCGACAATTTAAGATACTACAGGGTACTTCATAAATTAACGAAACACAGACTATGAATTAAATACATGGCTGAATTCCCACCAGCGTCCTGTCGTTCAACGACGTGGATGGGGCTGGTTGTTTCCCGCGACCCACCCGGTATGGGATTTTGTGGATGAATGTTTTAAGTCAAATGCGCTTCCTGATACAACCCTTTGCATTTGCCGGGCTTGTGTCCCTCTGCTTTCAAAGTAAGTCTAGAAATAGAATATTTAACATTCATAGAATAAATAAATGTAATCACTTAATCATCCTACAAGGGGAACTTTATGAGGTAGGGGACTGCACCTTCTTATTCTTTGTTTTTCCACAGAACCATCATCAATGACTCACGATCACAAACAGATTGTAACATGTTTTACATCAGGGATGTCAAACTCATTTTTGTCACGGGCCACATTGTATTTACTGTTACCCTTGGAGGGCAGTTATGACTGTGAAACCATATAAAGAAGTCAAAAATAATGGTTTATTCAACTACAGTTTAAGTTACTGTAGTGAGGGTTTTGGTTAAAAAAAAAATCCTTACAACAGCTCTCTTATTTATGGAATATGAGAATTTGAAATGTTGGTACACATTATAGCAAGCATCATAGAAGTCAAAATGTTTGATTTGCTCTGGTGGGCCACACACCCGGGCCTTGACTTTGACACAGGTGATTTATATAAATGCATTTGGAAAAATGTACAGTGATAACAGATAGAGCATTGTATCCTATTTTGCAGACACGCCAGAGAGATCGTACTGAAGTATGAGGGACGTCTAACAAGAACCAGAGGCTATCAAACAGCAGGAGCTGATGTATGTATACAAGATGAATTGAAAATATTACAATCACACTGGTAAGATTTCTATCCAAACCATGCCATTTCCTTTCTGTCATGAAGAGCTGTATATTTGGATTAAAAATAACCATGCTTGCTTAGACCAAACATATTGAGGAAAACTAGGAAAGGGATCATGTCAACTTGCGGGATGCTTCGGTTAACTGGCACTAAAGTGGATCTGGATCTGTCAATGTGGACAAACTGTTTTCTGTTGGAGAGGTATGAGGGGATTCAGAAAAAAGCTGTCTTGAAAAGAACACGTTTTTCACATAAGGAGGAGGATGGACAGTGGATAACTATATTCTACAGTGTGTCATGAGTTGGCAGTGATGGCAAGGTTGCTGGTGATTTTGATGAGAGCTGTCTGTGCAGTGGTGGATTGCTCAAGCCAGATTTTAGGGTCTACGATGGAGTGCCGACCCTGCTTTGAAGCCCAAATTAACTGCATCCTGAAAGAAGGCAGAAGCAATAATCAAATCAGTTCTACCCCCATCCATAATTTTTTTTTCTAAAGAAAAAAAATACATTAAAGTTTTTAAAAAGGAAGCTTGTTTCTCATCATAATAGTTGAATCATGAACTACCCTTGCTATAAATTCTATGCCCCCAAAGACATGCTTCAAATTCCCAATAGTACTTAATCCTTTTGGAAACATTAGGATTTTGTCTCTATGTTTTCATGTCATGCATGTTTTAGACTTAGAGCAGTGGTTCTTCACCTTCTTACAGGTACCGAACCCAACCAGTTCATATGCACATTCACCAAACACTTCATCCAGTTGATATGCACATTCACTAAACACTTCATTTGTGAAAAAAAAAAAAAAGAGCAGGCAGCCTGTTGAATACGATGTATGCCACTGACACGATTGTTACTTGTTTGGAACTATTTTGTGTGGAAGGTTACAGTGTTCCGTGTCCATATAAATGAAGCGGGTGGAGCTTCTCTGTGTTCGTCTGACAGTGACGGTGCGCAGAGGCGGTGACATGACAACGAAAGTTCAGCGGTTCAGTGGTAGCGACCTAGCGAAAATAAAACCTCTCCAGTGTTGTCATCTAACCAAGTGTAGTCATCCGAAATGATGTCTACACAAAACCGTAGAGAGACGAGCAAGAAGGACCAACAGAATCAACATAGCCTGACTGCTGTGTTCAAAGCAAACTTGAGAAAAACGAAGTATGCAACCATGGCTTAAATCCACTATAGGCTGAGTACTAGTTTACCTTAGATGTGCACTCTATAATGTTATATTGCTCTGTTTTGATTCCATAAAAAGAGCTGTTAAAGCAGCTGTTGTGTGACAAAATATATTTTTCACTGTTGTTGAGGGACAGTAATATTGTGTGAGAGATTATGTGTGAATAACTGCTCCAGGTGAAAAATGTTCATGTAAAATTGAAAATCAAAATTGTTATTTCAGTAAATATTTGCATTTTGCACATAGAAAACTGATTCATGATTCCACGTTGATGAGAGCATTAAAATGGGGGAAAATTGGACGAAAAAATATAAAAGGAAATTCAGAAATGATCAAAAATGTGTGAGTAATCATGATTAATTTTTCGTGAATTTGAGTTAATTATGACAGTTGCATTTTTAATTAGATTAAATATTTTAATCGTTTGACAGCTCTACTAAAAAGTAATCGTGATTACTCACGCGTTTTTGATCGTTTCTGAATTTCCTTTTATATATTTTTGTCCTATTTTTCCCCATTTTAATGCTCTCATCAACGTGGAATCATGAATCAGTTTTCTATGTGCAAAATGCAAATATTTACTGAAATAACAATTTCGATTTTCAATTTTACATGAACATTTTTCACTTGGAGCAGTTATTCACACATAATCTCTCACACAATATTACTGTCCAACAACAGTGAAAAAAATATTTTCTCACACAACAGCTGCTTTAACAGCTCTTTTTATGGAATCAAAACAGAGCAATATAACATTACAAACTGCACATCTAAGGTAAACTAGTACTCAGCCTATAGTGGATTTAAGCCATGGTTGCATACTTCGTTTTTCTCAAGTTTGCTTTGAACACAGTAGTCAGGCTATGTTGATTCTGTTGGTCCTTCTTGCTCGGAAGTCTCTCTACGACTTTGTGTAGACATCATTTCGGATGACTACACTTGGTTCGATGGCAACACTGGAGACGTTTTATTTTCGCTAGGTCGCTACCACTGCACCGCTGAACTTTCGTTGTCATGTCACCGCCTCTGCGCACCGTCACTGTCAGACGAACACAGAGAAGCTCCACCCGCTTTATTTATATGGACACGGAACACTGTAACCTTCCACACAAAATAGTTCCAAACAAGTAACAATCGCGTCAGTGGCATACATCGTATTCGACAGGCTACCATATATATAAAACACAAATTCAAGATTTAAAAAAAATACATTTATTAAAAACAGAAAAAAGTAAATAAAACTTCAAGAGATAAGTATACTTTTTTTTTTTTTGTTAATTGTATGACATATTAACACTCGAGTCACACCATGACTCCTGAGCGAACTAAATGTCCCACAGCACTGATTGGACAAGCAATGTCATGTGATCATCTGCAGCCAATGATGGCCAAGTGGTCGTGTCATAACTAATTGACATGTTGAGTCGTGTGTGTCTTACCCTCCATGGCAGAGGCTCCGTCGAACCCCTGAGACCGATTCACCGAACCCCTGGGGTTCGATCGAACCCAGGTTAAGAACCATTGACTTAGACCTGATTTCTTTTTTGTATGTTTTTTTTTTGTTTGTTTAATAATTGTGTTAATTCTTATGTTTCTTCATAATACAAGCACTAGATATTTCTTTAGGCAAATGAGAGGATTTGGGTCCTGATCGTGAACGTACGTTTGACACTGATTATATTGTACACTATTTATGTCACATTTATATTTCATTTGTAATGTCACCATTCCCCCTCCGTTTAATCTAAATGTGTTGGGAAGAGCAGTAAATATACGCCTTGCACAACAGCAGCATTTTTGCTGAGACAGGCTCGTTTTCAATAATTCCCACTCTGCTGCAACATAACCTGATGATCACAGTCATCAAGAAAATCAAGTTTCCCTTTGCATGGGGTTTCAGAATTTCTTTTATACTTTAACTATTTCTGTTGGACTCACATAGACTTGGCCATAAGGAAGCTATGTTGTGCAATGTAGTCATAGAAAATTTATGGCCTGTTGTTATAGCACTCTTTAATTACAGCGTTAAGGCTGCTCATGCTCCATTAGAATACATTGTCGTTAAACGAGCAGTCTGATGATGAATAATTAATTTGCAGTTTGGCCTCTGGTTGAGTGAAAACTCAACATCATCTGATGTGACCTTCCGTCATCATTTTCATTCGATGCAATCATATGTGGATTACAGTCCGACAAAAACAAGACTTTGAATATTGCATCACAGTTTTGTTTTTATACAGTTTATATTTATCTTCTTATGTGGTTTCACTGACTGTAGCATAAAAAAGGAGCAATGGTAGAAAAAGCATGTAGGACTACTACTACGTTGAGGCCAACAAGTATGTGACTGGGTTATTGTCAGAGTAAGAATTTAGATCAACATGCACAGAAATAAAAATGGTCTGCCGCAAGATAAAATTTTATGATGTTCTTTCTCTATTCATTTTTTTTTAACTGGTGTTTTCATGAACCATGAATATGCATGCAGATGAATATACAACTAAAAGCCATTATAAGGAAGCGGTTGTGGTCTCCAATCACATGTTTTTTTTCTGTCCTGCAGATGCTGAAGAAAATGTCTCGCATGCTTTATAACATTGTGGTTGTGTTCATTCCCTGGGAAGTGAGGATTAAGAAAATTGAAAGTAAGTCTTTTTTCTGTTCTCAGTTCAAAAAAAAAGCTAAACTTACAAACTAACAAACAAACAAACACACACACATTTATGAAACGTTCATTGTTTATATACTGCACAGTTTTTAATTGCATTTACACTCATAGACCAACATGTGGAAGCAACTTGACCTTCTACCATCGCTTATTTAACTTTAATAAAATGAAATCTTTGACCTCATCACTCATGATCGTGTTGCCTAAAATTCTCATAAAAATGTTTACTCCTCTATTGTGAGGTCATTTTGGGTCGGGTGTCGCCTCCTACTTCATCTTCCTTCGCTGGTTATTTGGGATCAACATTGTCCTCACCATTATGACTGGAGCATTCATCGTGTTACCAGAGGTCAGTATTGAATGCTGTGCATACATGAATAGATTTCATAAATTGGTTTTTGGTTGCTGCAATATTTCACATTATACTGAGTATGGTTGGGGTGGAAATATGACCTCAGTTGTTATTTTTACATAACTTAAATTACCAACTTAATATATTTTCTACTAGAGCTAAAACTATACATAACAAAAGTGCAGTGTGCGTGTGGGACCGTTATATTTACTGAGGTCTTGTAACAAAATGCTGAATACAATGGTGTGAAGAGGTCTGAGACGGTCATATACTGTAAGCTACCATACAATTCTGTTTATACACTATATCTCCAATTATAACAAACACTATCTCAGGGCCCATATGGAGTAAGACCAGAGCCACACTACCTACACATTCAAAGAAACAAGGTGAACCCCACATGAAAAATCGTTGTCGCAACAAAGGCACAGAAAAACTCCCTTAAAAGGAAAAAAAACTTGAAACACAACTCAGACAGGGAGACCAGAAGGGTGACAGTGGTAGAGAGGGAAAGAAAAAAATATGGTTTGATCGGATGGGGGAGGAATGAGAAATCAATGTGTTTAACGTTGATTGTATTAGCAAAAATAATCCTGTGGCAATGAGCAGTAATGATGGAGGTCCATTTTTGATATCATACAGGAGCAATTTATGCTATTGCTACCACTAAAATGACTAGAAAATATGTACAACTGCATCTCAAAGAATTAGATTGTCATGGAAGATGGAACTCATATTTCTTATAATTTGGATGATTATCTAGCTTTCAGCAGTGGAAACAGTGTATATTCACTCAATTGATAACCAGCTGGGCGGCTCAGTTAGCGCGACTGCCAGTGCAGAGGTGCAGGGTTCGATTCCAGCTCCGGCCTCCCTGTGTGGAGTTTGCATGTTCACCCCATGGCTGCGTGGATTTTCTCCGATTTCCTCCCACATTCCAAAAACATGCGTGGCAGGTTAATGGAACACTCAAAATTGTCCCGAGGTGTGAGTGTGGGCGGGAATGTCTTTTTTTTTTTTGTCTGTGTGTGCCCTGCAATTGGCAACCACTTCAGGCTGTGCCCGCCTAGTTCCCAAAGACAGCTTGGATATGCTCCAGCACGGATGGATGGAAGATGGAGAAGAGAGAGCAGTGTACATAAAGATAACTCACATCAAGATCGCCCTAACTGTGATGTTAGTCTATGCAATTGATGACTACTAAAAGTAATCACAGAACTAGTTCTGTTGTCTGTTTTACGAGAAGAAAGAACACCCGTGACAAGGGGTAAGAGAGGGAAAATAGTGAAAGGGATTTGGTGTGTTGTTCTCCCAACAGCGAGCCCTCTGGCAGTTTAACTAAGCGATGACCAAGTCAGTCAGCTCACAGCTTTATCAGTTGCAACTTGTTACTGCCTGACTGTTAATATTTTGACTCCCTGCAGACCTTGGGTCAGAGAGGAGTAACGGTAAGTGTTCATAAAAACAGTGGTGAGCGGCGTATTTCATATCTCTGTCGACAGTGGGGACTTACATAACTTTGGACCCCTTTAGTACCAACCCTATCACGTCAGAATTTGGGAAAATAATAAAAATGGACTCATGACTTTTATAAATGAGTTCTTGATTTGTTCATCCTCTTGATCTTATTACACAATTGCTTTCAACAAAATATATTACCGTTGATTGTAGATATGTATTGGAATCGAGTTTTAATTCATGTATTTTAGTAATCGCAACACCATTTAAGTGTTGGCAGACTCAAATTTAGTCCATTGATTTAGAAGCATCTGTAGAGATAGCATAGAAAAAGAACAAAGGGCATGGTAAATTTATGGTCACTGACACACGAGCAATTTGCCCCACCGAGTTATCTATCCTCTCTGTGCTTCCCCATTGCCACGGTTTTGCTGCTCCACTGGTTGGGACAAAATGTCCTCTCTGTCCACACCCTGAGCTCTGCATTGAGTCGTAACATCCAGCATTGAACATCATGAAATGCTCTGTCAGTTTATCAGTGTCTCGCTCTCTTTTTTTTTTTTTTTTTTTTTTAAACACATACAAATCTTGTGACCAAGGAGAGAAGTCCAAGATATGTCACATGGTGGCAAACGGGTATGAATGTGATGAAATGCTGCTAGTAAATTATCATAATTGAAACATTGTAGGTTATGCTTTGTTGCTGGGGAGGGAGGAATACTTGCCCTGACAGAGAGAACCTAGTATTTGCATAGTATTTTGCATAGTTTATCTTTACAAAGAGTTGAGACATTTGAAACAGATGTTTTCAGTCCTTTCCAGTCGCTGCTGTACTTGCCAAACACACTGGGAATCACTCTCCTATAGTCCGATTAATCTCTCTTTTTATGATTCACTGTTGAAGTACCAGGAACAACCTCTAATAAATTATACTATAATATTTTCAGTTACAAGCTTTGGTCTGAACTAAGTTCAATAAAGGGCCCTTAAGATCAGATGGCCAAATTCATTGATGGCCAGCACGATGACCTAATGGTTAGTGAGCATGCCTGCCTCACAGCTCTGAGGTTCGGCGTTTGACATTTGACGCAGGCCATTCTGTGTGGTGGTTGCTTTCCATGTGCTTGTGTGATTTTTTTCTGGTTACTTGGTCTTTCCTCCACACCCCCAACAGATACATACCGGTACCTGTTAAATTAATTTAGATACTCAATTGTGCATTAGTGTGGTTGTAAGTGTGGAAGGTTGTTTCTCAACTCAACTCAACTCAACTGTATTTATAGAGCACTTTCAAACAGCCGTCGCTGCATACAAAGTGCTGTACATTGAGCAAATTAACATACGCTACATACGCTACCGCCAATGCCCACCAAGTGCTGCAAATGAGTCAGCAGAATACTGTGATCCACTGTATCAAATGCTGCAGATAAATCCAATAGAACTAGACACACGTAGTCTCCAGTGTCATTTGCCAGCAGGATGTCATTAGTAACGCGTAACAGGGCTGACTCCGTGCTATGCATCGTCTTGAAACCTGACTGGATGTCAGAGATTTTCTCGGACAAAGTTAAAGAAATGACTCGGCACACAGGAAAATTGTCTTCAATATCGGCGGGAGGGGGATCTCTGAGAGCGAACGACGGTAGTTGCTCCGATGATCACAATCTCCAGCTCCCTTCCCGCCAATTCCGACTTTTATTGTAACATACAAGGAAAACACTGCCCCCGACATTTGCATACCGCACCCCCGGTCCGGCCCCTCGGTAGTGATTGGTTACCTGAGTTTAAGCTTTGAACCACCAGTACATTGGCGCCTTTCTGTCTGGTCCACACTGTATCAACATGTTGCAGACTTCGCGGACGACAAATGTCGCCTGGGCGCGACGGGTGTTCTCAACTCGTCTTTTGTTGTTCAACCGCTGTTCCCAAATTATTCATTCCCCTTTTGTGACCGAGTTTCGCCCCCTCCCCTGTGATTGCCCACCTGCATTGACGTGCTAATTGTGGACTTCAACAGCCCTCCGGCCAGGTGGCCGGCGCCTTTGTGCACAGGCATTTGGAAGTGCTGGATACGCGCCCAAACGTTTAGATGTGTCCAAATTAAATGAAACTTTAAACATGATACAATTTTGCTCATAAATTCCTCTAACAACATATTTCGTGCAACCCGGGCAACCTGTGAACGTTTTTGTTTTTCTCATTTCCTGTTCAACAAATATGTTTTACCAGAATCGGCCAATGAGTCCCATCTGGTTCAGGAGTCCTCTTCCTGGAAGCTTCCCTCACTGTTCCGCCACATTGCTGCTGAACACGAATTATGGACAGAGGGGTCAGATGCAGTGTTAGAGACGGAAGTCCTAGCTGTAGAGACCTTATGAATGAAAAACTGAAGGAATCTGTTGCACATCTCGGGTGAAGAATCCGAGCAAGAAGGCAGAGGGGGTTTTAGTACAGAATCTATCGTTTTAAATAGTGCGCGTGGGTTGTGACGGTTAGCTTGAATAAGGTCCGACAGATATTCTTTTTTGGCCTCTTTTACTGTGAGCTGGTAATTACGCCAGCAGTCTTTCCAAATTTGATAAGAGACCTGCAATTTGTCTTTTTTCCACTTGCATTCGGCTTTGCGACACCCCTGCCTAGCTGCGCGAGTTTTGTCGTTAAACCAAGGCTTGAGTTTAGGTTTTGGGAGCACAGTTTTTGAAGGCGCCACCAAATCCAGGATGGCACGGCATGATGAGTTGAACCAAGAGGTGAGTTCCTCTGTGTTAGACGAGGGTACGCAAAGGTTATTAAAGGCATCAGAGAACCGACTAGCAGTGCGAGGGTCAAAAATTCGGCGGTTGCAACTTGGAGCGGCAGATTTTACAGCAGTACGCGATAAGACTACGTCAAATAAAACTGCCATGTGATCAGAAATACCATTTTCAAGGACTTCCAGATTTGACACCGGTAGACCATAAGCAAGGACAAGGTCTAAAATATGTCCTTGTTCATGTGTCGGGCTGGTCACATATTGCACGAAATTAAAAGAGTCGATAAGTCTTAAGAAGTCCTTTGCTAGTGTTTTTTCCGGGCAGCATACATGGATATTAAAATCCCCCATTAGGAGGATATGTTTGTCTATAAATGCTGTGCCCATTTGCTTGGCTTGCGACCAGTCCAGGGTGTGTCCCGCCTATGACCCAAAGTCAGATGAGCCCAAACAAAGCCAATTAGTCCAGTATAGAAAATGAATGAATGGATATTTATAAATCATGAAATTATTTAGTTTCCCTTTCAATGGATAAGCGGGGTCAAAAAATGACACCTGGGCTTTGTTTTTGAAATGTTTTTAGTTTTTTATCATTTAATCTTCCAAGTAAGGTTGTCTTTGAGGCTATTCATTAGTCTGACCACCATGAAAGTCATTCATTTTTACAATAACACAACATACATGTATTATCATCACTTGCATACCTCATGATATGTGCTGTTATAAAATCTAAACTTATTTCCCACAATCATGAGTTTTGCGTTATTAATAAAGATATGAAGCCATACCGGTGTGCTATAGCGTCCAAGCTAACCAACGTGCCTTCTTAGCGGCCATGTTGGCAGGGGCAACAGTCTCATCGAAGCCAATGTGTGTTGACATTGAAATTAAGATCAATATCAATAAGATCATTTCCCCAACGTTTTTCATGATGTTTCAATGCCCAAACGTGCTATCAATACACAACTCATGAAAACAAGCAATATTTTTATCTGTGAAAGGCTATTTCTACTTTCCTTGTTGTAATTGTGTGTAACACAATGTGCTGGTATCCATTTATTTCTGTTTTTCTTGCTGTCCACACACATGGGATGTGTTGATGCCTTTGCCCATCCTAGCATTGCATCTCTGTAGGCATGCAGCTCAAAAGGAACATGTCCTTTCTACCTGTGTTTATATCAATGGTTACCATCTTTGAACCCCTTCTTTGTACATAGCTACTTTAGCCAACTGAACTAACACTTGCTAACATCATTGCTTCTGTTGTGGAGAAAAACAGACTTACTGTCATATTTACAGCTTCCTGGAATATAATATAACCCATCAGCCTACTATTATTGATTACACAGTGATTTATGTGCATCCACATGTGTCCCGTGCTCACACGTGTACAAGCCTGTTTGTACATATACTTGTGCAGGTAGCGATACATATTGATTCATACTTTTGTGTGCCAATCAAAAAATGGTTTATAGTCTCATTTAGAGAATCATGGCTGCTAAAGGTTTCCTTGAGAACGTGTATAAATGTTCGGCATGTTAATTGGTAGGTTAGACTTGGATTTGACATCTTAGATGAAGAGAACCCAAACTATTGTCCAATTGGAGTTGTGAGGTCATTTCGGAACTCAGGTTCAATTTGAAATCTACTCTCTCTCTGTCTCTCTCTCTCTCTCTCTCTCTCTCTCTCTCTCTCTCTCTCTCTCTCTCTCTCTCTCTGATAAACAACACCACTTGAGACATCTGGCCAGGGGACACCACCAAGCCACTGCTGTTTTGTGATAAAATGTTCATTTAGGAGGAATCAATGAACATGCCAAAAATGAAATTCTTTTCTTCACCAAAATATAATAAAAATCATTATCTTTCTTCAAGTTTACAACATAAAATGTATTCATTCTAGTTGGGGACATTTTTTACCCCACTCATGGAAAAGTGTACGTATGCTAAGTTAACATCTAAGGGTTAAGCTTGATTGTGGTGCAACTGGGTGCTAAGGCTAAATTGTTGAAACTTTTATTTTAATTCCAATGTTAGTATCTTTTTACACCACAATTCAATATACATTTGAACTATATATGCTGAATAAAAAAATAAAATGATCTGAAAAACAATTGTAAATAGCACAGCCACCTTATCTATATTTATATTTTATATATACAGGTGTATATATATATCTTATATTTATATTTATATTGCACTTAATTGAATGGTGTACATTGAAACTGTAACATTTATTTTGTGAATGCAAACACTTTGTTTTTCTTTCTTCTTTCTACCCACAATCTTGCTGCTGTAGACCGTACATTTCCCGTGTGGGACAAATAAAGGATATCTTATCTTATCTTCAACAAAACAAACAGTCATTATAATTTATTGAAGACGTTTAAAATGTTTTTTTATTTGTCTGTGCTAGCTGCTTGCTGGAGCCCCGTTTGGAACCACGAGGAGTAAAACTATTCCCAAGGAACACCTGGCTTCTGCTCAGGACCTGGACACCATCTGGTCCCTTGGGGCAAGCTTGTTATGTTAAATAGCATGTTACATACAGACAGACTGCACAATTAGTAAAGCATTGTTTAGTGTGTTCCTGACCAGTACATCAAGGCTAATTTAACCTATCCTTGTAATTCTATATAGGACAATTTGTTACTGTGTCAAATCTTGTGTGTGTGTGTGTGTGTGTGTGTGTGTGTGCGTGTGTGCGTGTGTGTGTGTGTGTGTGTGTGTGTTTAACCCTCCACAGGGTTACCTGCAGTACTCTGTGTTATTTTATGGCTATTATGGAAGGGTGAGGAAAATCGGCAGTGCAGGATACCGGTTGCCCCTTGCCTACTTCTTGGTTGGAATGGCTGTCTTTGCCTACAGTTTCATCATTCTATTAAGAAAGTAATTATTTTATTCTTATTTTTTTCAAACATCATTAAACATCTTGTTCCTCTTTGGTAAAATTTGACAGCTAGGATGAAAACAAGGACAATTTTATGTTAAATGAGGGGTTTAATGTTAGTCAAGCCGAGAAATGACAGCACCGGTTGTTGATTCCCATACCCAGACTAAGACTCAAGACCAGGGGTGTCAAACTCAAGTCCTGCAGGGCTGCTGTCCTGCATGTTTTCCAAGTCTCCCTGTTGCAACACACCTGATTCAAATGATCACATCATCAGCAAGCTCTGCGGAAGCCTGACATTGAACCTGTTCATTTGAATCAGGTGTGTTGCAACAGGGAGACTTGGAAAACATGCAGGACAGCGGCCCTCCAGGACCTGAGTTTGACACCTATGCTCAAGACGTTCTGGATGAGTGGGTGAGCAAGTTAAACAAATAAAAATAGTAGTCAGATTGCATATAAACTGTGCAATATTTAAGAGTCAAGCCTCGGTTTTCAAATGTATCTGTTCTCGACCAAATCGGTTTTCGACCAAAAATTTCGAGTTTTTTTTATGCCTCGTATTACGACCGAAAATAGGTTCTCGACCAAACTGAGCGCACTTGAATGCGCCACTTGACTGCTCTCGCCTTCCTTACACGAGGAAGTGACGCTTCCTTGGGTAGACAAGGAAGTGACGCTTCCTCGTGTAGCGTTCCATTGTGAGCAGACGTGTTCAATAAAGTTTTTTTTTTTAAAAGAGCGTGGTTTCGTTTTTCGAACAAATCGGTTTTCGAACAGCCTTCTGGAACGGATTATGGTCGAAAACCGAGGTATGACTATAGTTAGAAGAAAACCTCCACAGTTGAATGCCCCAAAGCTTGTACAGCTTGGAATTCAATTTTCATTTTCTGGAAAAATGAGTCTCAAAGGTCAACCAAATCTTCCATCCATCCATTTTTTTCCTGCTTATCCGGGTCAGGTTGCCGGGGCACTCTACTTATGAATGGCTCTTCATACGAATTTTTCACATTACGAACAGGAAACATATTGCCTCTTGTTACGAAAGAAATTTCAAGATATGAAAGGTAAAAATACAGTATGGGCTGCTCCTCGCAGCTCCAAGTTTCCTGAGCGCAACATACTTCTCGCTGCTCTGCCATTGGCTATTACCGAGCATCATCCTGGCATCCTATTGGCTAAGAGGGACCTCGACCGTCTGTGTCTATGTGTTTATGCAGCGTCATCATTCACCCCTCGGGGCCATAAGGTGTTCCGATAGTTTTACGTAAATGTGAATCACCCAGAAAAAAGTGTTCACCAGCCGGGCGATCGCTCAGTATGCTGATGTTTGCCTTGGACATTTTCAAAAAGTTGTTCAAAGCCTTCAAAAGAAAATGTCTTTGGATCAGTTCTTTACAAAACGCCAGGCAAAAAACACTTCTGAGCGATACATGAACTTAAGAGGGCAAAAAACGATGAAAGTTAAATGACCATCATTTTTATTCTTTACTCTATTCTTTGTTTTTTACATTATGCACAACTCTGATTTGTTGTGCAAAAATCTAATTGGAACATGTGTTTGTTACATTTTTTTTTTTTTTGCATTTTTATGCTTTAGAAACATTTATGTCTGAATTTTGGTGGGGCTTGGAATGGATTAGGGCATTTACATGGAAATCGCATCTCTACTTAAACAAATTTCTATGTAAGAAATTTCATCCAGAAGAATGCAATACTAAGGCCACCAAACCAGACTGCCTCAACTCCTCTGCCTAGAAATTCTGTCCATGAAAAAACAAATTCTCTCCAGAGCCCCTGAGTCGACTAAATCAGTGAGGCTGAGGAGGTTGATTTCCTGTAAACAGAATATACTCTCAGGTCCCCCACTTAAAAAGGGGGACCACCACTCCGATCTGCTGGTGTTGATTCAACACCAAAGGTGTTAATTTTATCACCAGCTATATGTCTCCATGCAACCACATTACAGTTAAATAACATTGGTTTGGTAAGAGTGTTAGATGTCCAACCCACAATAGTGTGGTACAGAAACAAAATGTAGTGTTGATAGTGCAGTAATTATGACACTCTCAAGTGTTTAGATTAACACTGATGAGTGTTCATGCCAACACTATGAATTTTGGGGAAGAAATACCCCATGCTGCACTACCTTAAGTAAAACGCATTATGAGATTTCAAATCTAAACAATTTTCTTTTATTAAATCAATTTCAGACAGCCCATACATAACAGGAGTTGGGCCCAATTTGTGTTCTTTTATTATTTTCATGTGAAAAGTGCCCATCATGCGAATAATGACCATAATGTATTGTCATGAAGATGTTAACAAGTTTACAGAAAGAGGTACATTTTTAGTACCCACACCTACAAATTTTGGCATTCTGGCATTCAGTTCCATAGTTTTTCTCGCAAGAGGTAATGGCCGCACTAAACATTACATAGTTGACAAGACCCTTAAACCTTGTTTGAATTGTGGAACATCTCTCTGTGCTCAAGTCGCCTTCATTTTGATACTTTGACAAATGGCTGATTTGCCAAATGTTTATAATGGACATGCATTTATCAGCTGATGGCTGTTCAGATTTTGAGTGTTCTTGCAGAGTCTCTAGGCTAAAATTCAAGTGGAAACCAAGTGATGAGGCTTTTTTTTGTTCATCAAATACCATGATGTGAAAGTTTTACCTACCTTAGGTCAGTTTGATTTGGTCTTACAAGTGAGGAGGAAAATGATGCTGAATTGTCTTAACTCTAACAAGTGTACTTCAATCATTATGTAGGGCGTGGTTTAAATTACAAATAGATACTAATGAGGGCCGAATCCAGGTGATACCCAACTTTAACAATCTAACAGTGTTAGCAGTACACCCTAGACTACGCAGTCTATTTTATTATGGAATGGTGGTAATGCAACACTGACATTGTGTTTTTAATTAAGCGGGTCCCCAAACTTTAACACTGGTCAATTTACTGTGCACAATCACTCATGTTGGCTGCACCGTTGTTCAACCAACTAGTTTTCAAAAAGCTGTGAGTTGTAAATGGAATGTGAATGTCACAATTTGTCGTTTGGAATTCATTAACTAAATTTACATTATTCCCTAGCAGGCAAAAGGTTTTGAAACTCGAACCAGTGTCTTAGAATCATAATGTCGTTTTGCATTATGGTTGTGTAAAGACTAGTGGTTTGGAGAATGAATCATGTTTGACTTTGGAGTTTCTGTCGTATCTCGGAGCCAAAGCCTTTTTACAGCTCACACCAACCACATTTTTTTTGTCACTTGAAGTCATTCCATCAAATGTATTGTATTTTCTAGCCTGATGGTAATGTGAAAGAGAAATTCTGTGGCAATTCTCTGTATTTTTCCATTACCCGGTTGTGATCCTTTTAACTGTCATAATATTTATTTAGAATGGCCAAGAATTCCCGACTAAGTCTAGCCAGTGCTTCTGATGAAAACTTCACATTCTGCTGGAGGGTATTTTGTGCTTGGGATTACTTGATTGGAAATCCAGAGGCTGCAGAGAGCAAAGGAGCAGCAATAGTCAACAACATCAGGGTTAGACTCTTCAATAACTGTTCTCAATATATATATAGCTTGGAAAACATCAATTACTGTACTATATGATATGAATATACATATATATATATATATATATATATATATATA